CTCTGCAGGTAGAAGTTTCTCCTGTGCGATGGCCAAGGGATCAAACGGATAAATGCCTGCACGGCGGAATGCAGCCTGGACATTATTTAGAGTAAGGGCAGCTAGATAGGATGACAAGATACTTAGCAAATATTGTATCTGGTAATTACTGATGAAACTTTCCTAATGAGCTTGTGACATTTTACATCATATATTTTCTGAAAAGGGCCAAAACATCCTATATCCATGGCTACAATGGGGTGGCAATATGAAGATAACAATTCCTAATTTATGTGCCCATTCAGAGAGACCTATAGACACATGAGACTTATGCCCATCTAGGATCACAAGAATTTTCTTATCATTGCGTCCAGGAACAAATTTAAGAAAGTGATGTTCTAAATAATATCTAAAAATGCTGCCATTAGACCAGCCGGATTCACTAACTGTTCCATCAGCACCTGAAAATGTAAAAATAGTTTGATTTAACTATGCCAATCTAATATTTTTACTGTGAAAAAAGTCTACCAAATATGCTAAAAAATATCAGTATTAAGATATTTGTTAAATAATTAACTTTTTTTTAAATTAAATAATTAACCTGGCGATGCTCCAATCATAAGCTCAGACCTCATGCGCTGACATGGAAAAACAAGATAAGGAGGGATAGCTTGTCCAGCTGCACTTCCAGCACCAATCAAAGTTACAATCTGTCCCTTGCCAGAGGTTATTATGAAATAATACATTAAAAAGCATATTATGATATAGGTCTACTGGAATATATTTAATTATAAGATGTGAATTATTTCAATATAAAACAAAAAATACCTACTTTTGGTTTAACAACCTTTAACTCTGGCCACCTCTTTAAAAATCCTCTCATCCATTTCATCGTGTGTGGTCTATCCTGAGTTCGTCGACCTAACTGGACAGCATAATCAGTGGCAATGTCAACACACTCTTGTCTTGTGTACCCATGGCCATATCCTGCCATAGTTTTGAAATGGCTGACAAGATTAGCCTCTTCATACTCGTCAAACAAGGGTTGTCCACCAGCAGACAGAGTATCAATATGAACTAACCCTAAAGTTCTGTCCCTAAGGGTACTCTCTGGGACACCATAGAGTTTTGAAGCTTTTCTAACTGATGTGCCATGCTCCTTTATATGCATATAGGCATTTGTCAATGATGTAGGGGAGTAAAGTCTGTTTTAACGCCGAATTTCTTTGGATTTTTCTGATTCAAAGCAATTTTGAGATAAAAAATCACATAAGAAATAGGTCTGAAAACCACTCATGAAAAATGTGCTTAGCCCTAACTTACCGAAAATTGCACGATGGGAAAATGTCAATGGAGGTTTGTTTACAAACATAAATCAGATGTTTTTGCAGCAAAAATAGACAGTTTTTGAAGGCACTGAATTGGAAATAGTAAAAAATACAAATTTACATCAGGATGAAATGTTATGACCTTTCTTTACCTGCTTTGACCGCATTTTGAGCTGATTTTCTATTTGCTGTTTGTGTTCTGCAATACACAACATTTTATCGAGCATTTGACGTATGACGTCATCGATTTCGCGCGAGACAGGAAGTAAACAAACATCACCGGAACCAGGACTCCCACGGAACAAGGGCACTCGAGGCTATATAGTTTTCTTACAATATGTTTCTTTTTAATCAACTTTTATCTTCCTGATTTCTTTGTTTGATTGCATTGCAAAAGAATGAAGAAAAAAAAACAGCACGATTGTCTTTCTAAACAATGGTGAAAGTCCGTCAATTACCAATAGTTTAAAGTGGTGTTCCGAGTCATAATAACGCTGCGTTCGTTCTTCAGAATCAAAGAAATAATTATTAAAGCGGAAAATAAATTGATTAATAAATGAACAGAGTACAATTGTTCACTTTCGTTGTGATATTTTAAGACAGATTATTCAATTAGTGATTATAAATGTATTTCAACGCGTACTTGAAAGGACCATTAAACTATCTAGCGTAGAAATGTGGTTAAGGATTTTACTCGCCACTGGTAGGATTTTAGATTATAATACTATAGACATAAGAATAAAACATTCAATTTGGTCTTCTTTCTAAACTTGAGTACAGGTCTTTCCACTAAAAAAAGAATCACAAGTTGGATGGGTTTGGCTTAACTTCGTTAAATGAATAAGTCTATTAAAGCAAGGGCATAAGAATGGCTCTTAGAACTTGTATTTGAATACCGGAAGCTATAAATTGTTTGACATCAACGCAAACTAGAAGTGTTATAAATTAACATAAATGAATATTTTCGGAACAATTATTATTGCTTTAAATAAAACTTTTGTGAGAGAACCAGATATGTTTTATTTACCATTTCCACATTTATATATATAACAAACATTGAATATACTTGTAACAGTCCTTTTAATTTTTCTGTGTTATAGCCTTGCTGTGCACAGTGGAAGCAGCAGACTGTTTTAACAAGTGTACATGTTAGTAAAATGTTTGCCTTTATTCTACGTTGTTTCTAAACAAGCTACATGTTAATGCGACAAACAAAGAGTTCCACCAATAACAGATATATGTAGCGCGTATTCTTCTTGCAAATAATGTCAAAACCAAAGAGAAACGTAATAATTTCTGACCCTTAAGTGTCATTGATTCACAATTGATAAGTTTTTAAGATAAAAAGATAAAAATTGAAAATACAATATCTATCATTGAAATTGACTGCTTTGGAATGTAAAGCTAAATACTAGACAAATACGTATTTTGGGTGCGTTTATCATTTTCATAGATGTACGTTGTGCTAAATACAATGATTTACAAGCGCCATCTTTCACGTTGAGGGGAACTTAATAATACTTTATTTATAATTAACGTACCTTATATAGTCTCCCTGCTATGTAACTTAGACGTTTGACAGTTGTCTGTGATACGCGGGCTTCACAACATAACATCTGATTCCTTTCCCAAATTCCATTAATGTGGTTCCGAGGAGGGGTGGGGTAGAAACCCGAACAATTTTAGAATTTCAGGTCAGATCATGAATTTTCAATTTCTTTTTTAGCATCACAAATATGCGGATTCAATGGTTCATGCTACGAACGGTCGGAACTAACCTCATGTGGTATGCTAACTTAAAAATCCTGTAACTCATTTTTTATGGTTTCATATCATAAATATGATGCGCAATTAAAGATTTATCAATATTGTAAGTTCCAAAAAGCATTATTTGTAAAGATATGTTAACTTAAACGGTGTAGTTAATGTTGTATGCTTATTTAATAGTGTAGTTAATGTGATATGCTAACTTAAACGGTGTAGTTAATGTGATATGCTAACTTTAACAGTGTAGTTGATGTGGTATGCTAACTTTAACAGTATATTCAAAGTGGTATGCTAACTTTTACATTGTAATTAATGTAGTATGCTAACTTAAACAGTGTAGTCTGTGTGTTATGCTAACTTGAACAGAGTGGGGCGTCCGTGGACCAAGTGGTTAAGGTCGTTGACTTCAAACCACTTGCCCCTCACCGCTGTGGGTTCGAATCCCGTCAGGGACTTTGGATTCTTTCATGTTAGGAAGCTATCCAGCTAGGTTACGGAACGTAGGTGGTTCTACTCAGGTGCTCGCTCGTGCCTATAATAAAGAACGGAAGGGCACCTGAGGTCTTTCTCCGCCAGTAAATCTGGAACGTCACCATATGACCTATACTGTGTCGGTGTGACGTAAAACCCAAACAAACAAACAAACTTTAACAGTGTAGTTAATGTTGTATGCTAACTTAAACAGTATAGTAAATGTGGTATGCTAACTTAAACGGGGGTAGTTAATGTGGTATCTGGTATGCCAACTTAAACAGTATAGTTAATGTGGTGTGCTAACTTTAACAGTGTAGTCAATGTGGTATGCTAACTTAAACAGTGCAGTCATGTGGTATATCAACTTAAACAGTGAAGTTTATGTGGTTGCAGTCAATCACAATAACATTTCGTGAGAAATTAACCGAAGAACATCCAAAGTCAACAATGTCTTTTTATTGCCACATTAACAAAATTATCTCTTTCTCTCCAAGACTCGATTACATTCCACTATGTCACAAGTTCAGGCATATAATTCAGATTATCTTAAATAACCCGAAATGTACTGCATGTACGTATATAGCTTGTTTTTTGTGTGTATTTCCTACATCAGTTTATATACTATCCAGGCTTCACACATTTGTTTTCAGTCAATTAGAAATTCACAGTTCCGCATTATTTTATAAGAAGCTGGGTTCACATGCTTTTTGTGAAGCTTGCAAACGTCACAAGTAGTGACATGTGAACTTCCACACTTTTTTGTGTTTTGTTTGTTTGTTTAATTTTACGCCTTTTCCCAACAGTATTTAAGTCATATAGGCGGGTAGTTTCCGAACGATGGTTAGGCGGGTAGTTTTCGAACGATGGAAACTTGTGACGTTTGCAAGCTTCACAAAAAAGCATGTGAACCCAGTTTCTTATAAAATAATGCGGAACTGTGAAGTTCTAATTGACTGAAAACAAATGGGAATTCTTATATCAATATCAAAAAAATATCAATAATTATTACTTATTTAAATAAAAACAATTAATACAAACTATTATAACCTCAAATTTCCTTATCAGAGGGTTACTTGCTTTTAATTACTGTCTGAAAGTGTCTGACATTTATCCTTTGTCACATAAACAAAAAAATGAAGCCGCAGTTGTTAAGCAACCAACCACAATGCAAGATGCAGGATGTAGATTATGGTATCCAGCATTTACAAGTATAACATTCCCACAATAAACGGATTTTAGTTAAATCCTCAGCAGTTACAAAACCTTGATTATAACTTGTCATCCACCATGTTATAAACAGATTAAACTTTAAATGAAAATAAAGTCAAGCTTTAAAGTAAGGTTAGATCTGTTTCTATAAGAGTTACTAAGGACTAGGGGGGGGGGGGTATTAAATAATGTTTAAGGTATCATTTACTGCCATTATACCTTGCTTTTACGAGTCTCGTATAAATGAGTTTCGTTGTCGTTGTTGTTATAACTCTTATTCATAGTGTTCAGATGGCCAGATAGCTTTTTTACTGTGAAAAAGGACAGACTTGCTGTGGTGAGTTGATTTGTTGTCGTGCCGGGTACATCTGTAGAAAAGGGGACTGCGTCGTCGATGAGTAAGAACTTTGAGTCTTTGTGTAGATCTAATGTATCAATAATAATTTGTTCGGAAAATAATTATCGTTCACTTTTTATATGTTTATTTCTGATAGCACATTATCTTCTGATAGTAATGCAATGTAATATTACAATCATAATAAGTATAACATTGACGTAACGTTATAAAAGTGCCGAAAACATCAAAAATACAAAGTAGCACGGCAAATGAAATATTCTTATACTATAATTACAAGTATTGAATTGTAAGAAATATGCTTATAATAAAATTTCTATTTCAGGATGGTATTTTTTTAATTTATATTGACAAATTATAGAAGTAAATTAAATGTTTGCATTACTAATGAGTATTTTTAGAATACTTAAACAATACTCATTTTCTAGTTCGACGACAAGAACAACGCAGCCAGCAAGAAGAAGGTGGTCACATAGAATATCTACTGTCAAACCTAAAACATATTCAACACGAAGACCAATAACATTTTTCCCAAGACTCGCAACAAACAGGTAAATAAAAAAAGTTAAATGTTCGAAATATTTATGTTTAATTTAATTAAATCTCTAAGCAGCTTTGCGGGCAGCAGATAGCCCGTGCCATCCGTGGCATTTCAAGAATGAAAGATAAACGGGTCCATTTTAGGATATTTTGCGGGATAAAAATCAATCTTTTAGAAACAAATTGTTAACGATTGTATTTTGTTTGTTAAACGTCTCAGCAAAATAACGCCTGCCTTTTGACATACATTCATTATAGAGACATCACGGCAGACATGTGTATATATGTTCTTATTTGTCGAATATGGTTATTTTAATTGCAGAAAAGAAACATTCACCTGGTCACGTAAATCAATATATTTTAAATGGTGTTAAATTTTTTCTGCATGTCACTGTTTTATGTCCTTTATAAAAACGAATCGTAACAAAATTAGCATGGCCGTGAAAAAATTGAAAGAATAACGAAAATCATTAGAAATATTCATGAGTCAGAAATATTCAAAGCATTAGCTAAATAAGTGGTGCAATAATCGCTTCATTTTAAAATATGTCTCAGGGATTAAATAATTTCAGATAAAATATAATGATAAATGTATATTTGTTTTTAACCATTTTTCTCGAGGGATGTCTCTTTTCCAGATTTCACATGACCATGCCAAACTTGATGTGACAAAAATAAACAAAATATACATGAAACACAATAGATATATTAACTACATACGACGTAATTCAAACATATGTTATGATATTTCAGCTACACGTTTACTGTACCTAAATACAGCTACAGTTCCTCTACTAGTAGGTACAGATACCGCTTTCCAATCATCGGAGGTACTATAGTAATTGTAAGCCTCATAAGTGTTCTTATGCGTGTTTGCTGCAAAAAATTTAAAGGTGTGTTTAGAAATTTTATATTCCACGTGTAGTAAATTGTGTTTGATTATCGTGACAATTTGACAAATAGGTGTTCATTCTAAACGAAAATCATTGAAAAATGCAATAATATCTCATTAAAAATGTTATATTCTTACTTTATCAGATACTTAAGCTTAGAAGCAAATTAGTTTTCCAATTTAAATCTGGAGTGTAATCATGGAAAGTATATTTTAATTTAACAAATATTTATTCCATTACACCTATATAAATGTAACATTTTTTCTCGAAGACTTCCAAATCATCATAATACCACTTCATTTGTTAAAAATGTGGTCCGTCCAAAATTATATTTGCATTTTATTACAATATGCATTCTTTTATCAATGTAAGCAAAAAATTATTTTCAAGATTAAGTTGTTTGTTTGTTATGTTTTTTGTTTGTATGTTTTTTAGTCTTTTTATTTGCAGATCAAATAAGAAATGGGCGTATAATTACAACCCCGACCAATACATACTTATATGCACCAACTCATGGAAACCCTGCTACAAATGCGGCATCCAGTATTTAAACATCAGAATATTTCGGTTTCTATCAACGAGTTATGTTCTTCAAGCTACAGAGAATTTTTTAACATCATCATTTTATATACTCGTAGATAATATATTACATATATGAGCCGCGTCACGACAAAACCAACATACTGCGTTTGCGACCAGCATGGATCCAGACCAGCCTGCGCATCCGCGCAGTCTGATCAGGATCAATGCTGTTCGCTTACAAACTCTATTACAAGTAGAGAAACTGATAGCGAACAGCATGGATCCTGATCAGACTGCGCGGATGCGCAGGCTGGTCTGGATTCATGCTGGTCGCAAACGCATTACGTTGGTTTTGTTATGGCGCGGCTCATATAATTTATATACATTTGTTTGAAGATAAGTTTTCGTTATTGATATACTAGTAATTGTGGACAAGATTACGGCTTTGATTTGATACAAGAATGTAAACCTGTGTTTACTTGATAAAAAGATGGACTTTGCTTTTTTTTGTAAAATACCTGAAATATTTTTCTAGTTCTTGTCATTTTAAGTGTATTTAACATTTAACGTGTGTATGGAAATATGTCGTCAAAACATACAGAATTTTCTTACTCACTTAGAACGTTGGTAGATCGTGGACGATAAAATAGTAAATTCTGTAATTTTTCTTCATAATACATCTCCTGGATTGTCAGACTATATATATGTTTCTGATTTTTGAATATTTTTTTTTACTCTTACCTTTCACTCATCTACGGGCACGTTACTTTGAAGTTGTATGCTACAATCCAATACACAGGGAAAATCAATGATAGAATTTATTTCAACTTTGCATGATGACATACACATTTTAAGCGAATCATAAAGGGACGTCGAACTCGTTCTTGAGTTATCTGACCTTGAATTTGAAAAACTGCTTATTTCAACTGACAAATGAATGACAGATATGTTTAGCAGGGACTTATTGTTACTGCTTCGTTCAGAGCAGAACTCCAAAACCATACAAATTAATAACTTGAAACTTAAGATAATATCTAGGAAAGAATGCAGTAACCAAGAACAAGAACTCTGTTTGGCTCCGTTCCATATTGTAATCATCTCCCTTTATTTATATTTTTTCTTCTTTTATGTCCATAGTTTACATGGGCTTGACTTATAAACTATAGATTACAACCAGGAGTTATGCAAAGATCAAGAACCGTAATAAGATCAAGTACTTTTTTTATAATTATCTCCCTTTGTTAAGTTTTAAATTATGTTCCACTACTTAAAATCTCTTAAACTACTTAAAACTTTAAAGATAAAAAAACAAGATAAGGAGACATGCAGAAGCAGAATTTCACACTCTCAGAAGAAGAAATTCTTTTTGGGATAGCTGATCCTAAGAAAACGAATGAAACATTAAATTTAATTTTTTCTTATTGCAAAAACATATATTTACACGTGTAGGTATATTAACCAAAATTTTAACATACGCACTTTTCATAAAACGTTAGTTTTCCATTATAATGTAGAAAAGTATATCCAATATTCTTCTTGTGACTGGGATAAATTCAATAGTAGGTGGTCTCCCTTTCAAACTCTTGTCGACATTACAGTTCCTAATTGATAAGTATCTGAACATACTTTCACCTCACATTAAAACACAAGGAAATTAACTGTTAAAAGATCAATCTTAACAAAAATGATAATAAACTATATTACCATCCAAAGTCGGAGAAGTGCCATATACATATAGAGTGTTTTCTTGGCCCTATTTTAAAAATAATGTAATAAATATATGTTACCTTTGTTAAAATTATGCCCTTAAAGATGTAAAGGTATAAACAAACCAATATAAAACTTCACCAACCTCAATCCAAAATCCACAATCCTTTTTAAGAATTAATACTTTTCAACTTATTATCATAAACAACTGAAAAACATGTCTGCCTTCTACCAAAAAATGATGACAACTCAGAAAGGGCGGAAACAATTACACGCATGATTAACTAATAAAACAGCCAAGGGAAATCACTCCTACAGATTTCAATCAATAAACTACAACTGATTTTTTCCCTTTGGTTACATATATTTTTGGTGACACATCATAAAAAAGCTTCAGGCAACTAGTATATTATGCATACATATTTTACACTTCTAATGCGGATAAAATATGATATAATGTTGATATGATACAGAATTATATAGATATTAAGATTGCTGGAACTATGGGCTGTGCCACCTGTATGTTAGCTCATCGTGAAGTCTGGGGTACTCCTGACTCCCGACAACCTTTGGAGGTCGAGGGTCGGGAGTGCAACTGGCACGGCCTGGGGCGCGCGTTGTCGCAGGAAGACCGCTTCTAGGTACCAGGTCGTGCTCTGGTTGAGTTCAGGTCCACGATAGAGTGGGCAGAGACTATCAGTTCCGGCTGATTTTAATATTATTTGAATCTTCTTATGTTTTATGTAATTGGGAGCTCTGAAAAACTACCTTTTTTCGAAGATTATAATAAAGGGAAATAAATAAGTTAACGTATGTTAGGAAATTTATGGTAGTTATCCTTCTTTATGAGACATGACTTTTTAGAAGCATAGCAATGCTAATGTATGTGGAATATTGTCATTTTCTTTCTTTTACAAGATTTTCTTTTTTTTACATTTATACACAAATTTAAGCTAATATAAAGATCCTGTGATGAGAGTAGTGTTTTGATCAACTATCTCGTTAGGAGACATGAAATGTGGTTTATTTTAATTGAGATAATCCTTGTCCACGGTGTTTATAAGTATACCTACCATACATGTGAACTACACATAATATAATACTTTTATATAATACTTTTTTACTCTTTCTTCAATATCTATCCACGAGAAGACCTAATTTGTTTTTCGTATACACTTTTCGTTTAGGTTATCTTGCTGGGACAATTTGGAGGACAGGATGAAAAAATATATAAATAAACTGTATATAAATGAAAGTAAAACTATCTCAAAAAACCATCTGTTCATAATTATTATATAATGCAATTATACGTAAACCATTGTTTTCTTCTAGATTACGTTCTTTTTATATTATCTCATCAATTAAAAAAATTATACTATAAATATAATGTGAAAATCTTATGTCTCCTTTTTTAATGTTTAATGATTTACTGTATGATGTGTATTTGCATGGTTATGCATAAGTGTACGATTGTATGATTTCGATTTATTAATAAATGGGGTTCCACATTTGTGGACCTGAAGCTGAAAAAAAAAAAGAATTTCACAATATCTGCTCCTGTTTTTGAATTATGTCCAGTTATTTTACTTCGAAATTATTTGCTCAAAGCATTACTCTAAAACTATCGAAAAGATAAACTTGAAAAAAAAATGATGAAAAGATAACTCGAAGAAGTGCAATGACCAGGTTTCGGTATTGTACATCTATAATTACTTCAAGCATAAGTATTTTCATTAGCTTGAGGTTAACCAGACTTTTTACCGTATACCAGCATTACATGTAGTATATACGGAATGTGTACGGTGGTGTTGAGTTTGCTGACTTAGATTTTACTGAACACGATTAATAATGAGGATAAAAATAATATGTATGAAATTAAAATATGTTAGACGTCTGATATTTCTTATATTCACTGCATATACACTTTTAATCCTTTAGAAAGGTCTAACGTGTGTTTAATTATGTTTGAATGATACATTTAGAGAATGTTAGATATGTTTGTTTGTTTGTTTCATTTTACGCCTTTACCCAACAGTATTTCAGTCATATAGGCGGGTAGTTCCCTGAGAGTTACACCAGTACTAGACTACCTTCCCCCGCGCTAAACTGCCAAAGCATCTCCCGGGGATCGAACCCACGCCAGAGAGGTAACTGGATTAGAAGTCATCGACTCTAACCCCTCGACCACGGAAATGTTAGATGTAAACAAGTGGAGAAAAAACGCTGAATCGTAAAGGTAGCAAAATGTAAACAAAGAAGTAACAAAGTCACTAATTAAACCAATTGCAAAAGAGTAAAATAAGCAAAAGATATGTTCATAAACATGGTGAAAGTTATCAAAAATAAAAAAAAATTGACAAATAAATATTTTAAAGCATTTCCATTTGGAGACTTTATTGGGTCTTTAAGCAGTGTACGGAGAGCGGATGTTTACGCCACTCAAGATATGGGCAAACCTAACTTGGACTGGGATTTGTGGATTTTTCCACATTTGACTATTTTACATATACAGTACGCTCAGCGCGGCTTTTTCAAAACCCGCGTGACCCCGCGGATGAGGTTTACCGCGGACGAAAATTTGCTCAGATATTGTCCGCGTGACCCCGCGGACAGAAAATTTTCACCACCGCGGACATAAATCGGCGGCTGAAACCGTTTCCCCCGCGGAACGCAGTGGTAAATTGCGGAGGAACGCGGCGGTCAAACACCGGTCAACGCGGTGGAAACCTTAAATTTTAAAAATTAATTACTGTATTTAAACATCAGTATACGTACGTACTGTAACATGTACTGTACATGTAACTATATGTAAAATTTGTTTGTTTGTTTTCTTTTTTGTTGTAATAAAAGTACATGTACAAATGCAGTGTATTTCTTGTTCTTCTTCTTCTTTATAGGCCAGCTTTTGTTTCTTATTTAAAAACTTTGAAAACGTAACCCTCAACAATTTATTCAGGCAATATTCCAGGACGTCTCTTTCAATTGTCAGATGCGTTTTACTGTTTCTGTTTATTTGCATGTTGATCATAAAGTCTTATATTTTATTTGGAACATTAAAAGAAAGCGTTTATTTCACCAAAATATACATTAAATGATATTCTTGATTTATCTAATTACAGGTGTGAGCGTAATGTATATGTTTTGAAGTTTGTATCAACTGTTGAAGTTTATTTTCATTTTTGTTTTAGTAGTTTGTTTGTTTGTTCTTTTTTTATAGATTTTTTTTGCAGAATTGTGTTAAACTTGACGTTATACTTTTTGTTATTTTATTATGAACATGTACATACATGTATATAAGGCAAACAAGCACATGACAGTTATTTTCTAAGAACTTCCATCGACCGATTTTCAAGTTAAAAATATTTCATTTTATTTTTATCTTAAGATATTATTGTTCATGGGAATAATAGTATTTGTAGACAACATGTAGTTTTAAGTACATACATTTGAACGTAATTGTCTTTGCTTTCTTGTATTTATTATATTAAGTTTTCATTGAAATTAATTCCGAGGATAATAATGTAATTTTATAATTTGTAAAAGGCAGCCTAATTATTATTTTTAATGGGTGAATTGTGTCAAACAAATATACGGTATGTACAGTATACAAAAACTTTTTGGCAAGTGTCATGCATATTTCTCATGTCCATTTTTGACGGGGGTTTTACTGTAAAAAAACACAAACAAACAAGTCTACCCGTTTTTAAAGAATATAATTGCATACAAATAAAATCTTATAGATGGTTTAAATATCTTTTTCTTTTATTTCTAAGATATGTACATGTATTTTATTTATGTCTTGTCTTGTATTCACACTCATCGACCTCTTACAGGACATGTACTGTAGCGTCAGTCATCATTGAGAAATCAGCACAAATGTCCTTTTTTTTTACTAAGTATCATATTTATGGCTCCCATATAGTTTAACAGCAATAATACTTTGAGAACCACAAGGAATGAAAAAGTAAAGATGACAGTGATAAATGACGATTTCAGTTGTAAAAATATTGATATGTGGAAGAATAGTTTTGTGGACGTTTATAACAAAAATATTAAAAACAACAACAAAAACAGGTACAGATGTAATTATTTTTATTTCAAATTCCGTTCAAAAAATTTAACGTATAATAACATTTAAGGAGACGATTGTGGTCAATTTTCAAGTCATTGTGTAAAAAAGATGACGTTAAAAAATAATAAAACGTCTATTATTTTTGGAGGTTAATTTATACTGACCAACTGACCTTGGCGTTCCCCCGCGGGAAACGGGTGACTGATTTTATCGACGAATGAAGAACGGTCGTCAGAATTTTGTCCGCGGTGGAAACAACTGAACACCGGGGATCGCGGGGGAAATTAGGCTTTCATCGCGGACGAACCCCCGCGTTTGTCCGCGATAAAAAAATATCGTCCGCGGTGGTATCGCGGAAAAAGCAAAACCCGCGGTGAGCGTACTGTATAGACTACATATCATAGACAGATGTATACTGCAAACAGCATATGAGAAGAACTATCAATACATGGGAACCTGCTAAAACATACATACATATTTTATAAAGATAATATGGAAACAATATAGTATAATAGCAATCAATATAGTTATGTACTTATTAAATTTATCTGAAATGAACCAGTTTCCTTTAACTAGCTGGTTAACTTTCGTCATTATGAATATATTGAACCATTCCAACAACTTTACTTCAAAAGTGATTACACTGAAATTTGCCTTAGCGTTGCTGATACACACAAATGTATATTTTACAACTTGACTAATTTAACCGGTATTAACTTCTGATGTTGTTTAGTCATTAGATGTTAGCAGATATGGAGATTCTATTACATATAACATAAATTATTCTGGTATAGGAAATGGCGAAAAATAGCGAAAAATAGCGTCCTGAAGCAAAACCTTTATCAAAGATAAATATATGTCTTTTATAAAAGATATTTCAGGAAAAACAACAACAGCGAAAACATAATATTTTATTGTATATAACTACATGTATAACGAAACAATCACAACCTTAAAAAACCTATATAGACTTAACAATACAGTGACTGATACATACATGTATATTGGATGATTAAACAATTGTTATGGTCAATTCTGTATGGATAAAGGAACAATAAAGCAGAAAATATCTTTGCCGTTATCATCTTGGACTTCCCACTTCACAGCCAGTCGTAACTGAAATAAAACAAACATTTTATGTCAATAACTGTAATTGAGATAATTTTGAGATATCATCTAAATATAAGTAAATATTTGAAATATATAAAGCAAAATATGATAAATAATAATAAGCTTATTCTGATGGTCAAGATATTTTTTTGTGTTTTGAGTTATAATTGCGAAGAAATGCTTTCTTCTTGTAAATAGGGCGGACGCACCAGAGGTTCGGCAACAGGACTAGGTCTCACACTTGATATAATTAACTTTATGGATAGCTCGTATAATTCCGCAAGCTTTCCATTGATAGAATTCTTGTTTGCAACACGTCTTAATTAATTATCTTATTTAATTAATTTTATAAGGCAAGGAAGGTATTACAATAATATGGACTTTATTAGTGTAAGTCCAAGAGAGAAACTAAAATTACATCGACGATAGTACTCCTATGACGAATAAATCCCCGATAAAACCGAAAGTTGATATTATATCATTTTTTATGCATCGTGCTTATTTTTAAGTATACTTTACAAAAATGAAATGAAATACTCAGTATGTTAATTAACTATAGTAACCAAGCTAATAAAGAACACACAACACCGTATTAAAGGCGCTAGTGATGACAGATTGCTGCCGCGATGTCAGCAATCTAAAATTACCTAGGGACAATTTCATTGCTAAAGATTTGCTTCCTACTGTCTGTGGATACTATCAGGTAATTTTGGACTCGTTTCCCTATTTCATAATAGAATGTCTTGAGCGGGTTAAAAATGGCAGCTTTGTCCGTGGAAATGGTTGATTTTGTTCTTAATATCTCAAGTGTGTATGCAGAAATGTATTTAAGGCAGCCAGTGATGACAGAAACGCTCTGAAAGTGGCTACTTTTCTGACAGGAAATCTAGATCACTCTCAGGTAACAGGTAATAGTGACATCAATCAAAGATTATTATAAAATGGTCACACTTTGTTATCAATAGCATTGAAAAATAATATAACTATATAATATAGCTGAGTTTGTGTGTATGCCAGGAAATGTGACATTTCTTGGTAAAGATAACTAAAGAACAGATCGAATGGATGCCGAACTTTATTCTGATTGCTTATATTCTGAAATTCATGTAGTTTTAATTTTACATTTGGGGCGAAATGATACTACACCAAAACTTTACCAGGAGATATATTCAATCGAATGCCAGTTATTGTTAAAGGATTCCATTAAAAGAAAACAAGTTAAATATGTTGATGTGGGTGAAACACATAATTTTACCACATGTCATTGATTGACAAAAGAAATATTTGAAAAACCGACAAAAACATGAATTTTGTTAGTTGAATTATTGAACTGGAACAGCAGTGCAAAATTATCTGATTGGGGAACATATTCGTTTATTGCCAGAAAGTTGATAAAGTGTTCATTTTCTGCGTGAGGGATGTTGCACTTTTTAATCATCAATCATGTACAGATACAGTGTGACGAGAGAGACATTGCCCTCTGAATCATTACTCACATTGTTCAACCCGATCTTGCAAGGTATTGGGTAGTGAGACGGGCAGAGTGTAGGCGAGCATTGTCCTACGTTTGAATTATATCTTCACCCACTTTTTCTGCTTATGGTAAGAATCTTGCGACAATACTTTGCTGCTGGCAATGTCTTGATGTCCGTTTTGACATTGACAAATTTTCCTCCCCATGCCATGAGAGACCCTCTGTAATATCGGTCGTGTTCCGAGACCCAAGCAGGTTCAAAGCTTTTACTATGTCTTCTTCATACTCTGTATGTGAAGTCGAGGCTTATCAGTTAACAAATCAAGATTTTACATGTAATGTCTCCATTGCACATGATCACGGGCCCAACGTAGGCTGTATCGTTTAAAGTAACATGGTGGGGCTAAGAGTGTGGTTTCGTGCACCATTAACCGGTTAAAACTCCCCAGCAGTACTTATGCTGCTGACCATTCCAAAGCGGCGCCCCTCTGTGTTCCTCAGATGTATGTCTTTGTTGTTTCATACTGTTTTGGTGACACTTTTGTGCCCATTGTTGTTTCCTCAGATGTATGTCTTTATTGTTTCATACTGTTTTGGTGACACTTTTGTGTTTCTTTTTTTATCCCCCCCCCCTCTTGCCCGGGTGTCCTGTTCCCTTCCCCTGTGCCCTTTGACTTTATATGCCTATTATTCAATCATTTATTTGTTTTCTTTGAATTCCTTATCAGTTTCTTATGTATAATTTTAGTGATTAAACCTGCCCATGCTCTGCCTTGTGCCCTGTCCTGTTTTTGTTTGGGGTCCTCCTGGGCTCCTTGCCACTGGTTCTTGTTGCTGGATCGTGTTGGGGTTGCGTTCATTAAACGCCACCTTTCCTTGTTGATCTTGTTTATCATATTTTCTCTGTCAAAGGAACACGAATGACAGGAAGTGCGGCATTCATACCAGCATCATGCAATCTATCTCTGCGGTAGATATCCGTATATTTGTTGTATTCTGTAGGCTGTTTCTTAACGAAATGGCTTTCTGGGAAAAATAGTGCCGTGACCTGAACAATACTTATCGGTCTTGTGCACATAGAACAGACACTACCGTGTAAATTTCTACGTTTTTTTTCCATTTGGAAACGGTTCACACAGTGGGAAACGTTCATTATGCAGACAATCTGCCTCCGAGACTGCCTTTCTGCCACATGAGGAACAAAACGCTAAAAAGGACATTGTATATCCTAATAAGAAGCTTAAAAACTAATATTGAGAACAAATAAAATTAAAACTTTGTATAAAAACATTAGGAAATAGATTAATACAGAATCCCTAAAGAAAGCCCAACACGGCAAAATTGAAAATGTTGCAGGCTCGGTTTGATTGAGCCTGTTCATGGACGGTACTGGAAAGTGCAAGTTACCGTCCACGCCCCCTAGCACCGGCTTAAGCAGAATTCAACATTTAACACGAAATGGTGAAATTTTCAAGTCTAAAGCTTTTATAATTTATGAGAAATGGCCTGGACAAAAAAAATGTTTGAAAATTAACAAAGGGCAACAACTCAATAAATAAGAAATGCAGAGTACCAGTTCTTGTGCACTGCACTTCTTCTTAATGAGATCTATCATCCTATGAAGTTTCATGTCCATAGCTTTTATACTTTAGGAGAAATGGCCCGGACAAAAATAAAGTGATTAACAAGGGCAATAACTCAAAAAATAAGAAATGCAGAGTACCAGTTCTTGTGCACTGCACTTTTTCTTAATGAGATCTATCATCCTATGAAGTTTCAAGTCCATAGCTTTTATACTTTAGGAGAAATGGCCCGGACAAAAATAAAGTATGAAAATTAACAAAGGGCAATAACTCAAAAAATAAGAAATGCAGAGTACCAGTTCTTATGCACTGCACTTCTTCTTAATGAGATCTATCATCCTATGAAGTTTCAAGTCCATAGATTTTATACTTTAGGAGAAATGGCCCGGACAAAAATAAAGTATGAAAATACACAAAGGGCAATAACTAAAAAAATAAAAAGTACCGGTTCTTGTGCACTGCACCTCGGGTCATTGTAAGAAGCATGCATACCAAGTTTGAAGTCAATCCGACTTATAATGACTGACTTATGCTCCGGACAAGCCTAAGGGGACACCGACAACGACGCCGACACCGACAACGACGCCGACAACGACGCCGCCGACAAAAGTAACCCTTATATGTCGCCTTTTTCAAGGCGACACAAAAATGAAAAACAAGATCAACAGCCTCCCCAAATACAGGACTGGACACAGAGGGGGACACCAACACAACGTCTGACAATCCTTTGAGGATGAGAAAATAACAACATTGATTGCATGTACGGGGAATCATTTTACGGCCGACACACGACACAAACAAGACGGTAAGTCATAATCATAGGAATCTGGAAACGAAGTGAGTTTATTTACCATAGAACAATAGATTTGGCACCAAAAAAAAACTTGAATAATTTGTTACCAGCATTTCTGTTATCATCGACAGCCTTGAAAATTCATTTTTGCCAGAAAGCATTTTTACTTTGACAGGGCTAATTTGTAGGCGTGATATACTACTTAGGGATTAACAGAGATATGTAAGTTAGTAACCCATATTTAGTTAGTATGAGATATTTTTAATGTGTATGTTGTTCTTCCCTCGAATACCAACAACATTAATTATTTTAAGCGGGGCCTGGACATTTTTATTCCTATATAATCATGTGTGTTATTTATGATATTACCTGTGGGTATGATGGACTGCAGTAAACATAATTAGTGTACAAGTCAGTTACACCGGAAGTAACGGGACATTTCAAGTTGTGGTTGTTGCAGCAGTCTGAAGGGACCGGAAATGGCACTGGCACACCGCCAATTATTCCATGTACAACCGTCTTTGCTGCTACTGAGTTTTCCACTAAACAGAGGTAAACATAAATATATCAGCTCTAGATTTTCACATTTGAGTTATATGAAAAACGAACAACATCAAAAAATAATTTAAAAAAAATAACGCACCGAAATTTATTAGTGGTTAAATATAATTCCAAACTTTAACTTCATGAATTGAATCCGTGGGGTTGACGTCTATATGCAAATGAAATCGAGTGTAAATGAATATTTTGGAAATAAGTCGGATAATTGCGAAAGAAAATACCGTCAAAAATTTATATGAATACAACTTTTGGATCAACATTATATTAAGGCTATGGTAAAGATACAAAATTCATAGATTCATGAAAAAATTAGCTTACAAGCTGTGAAGTTAACTTTTGCTGTGTAGTTTGTTCCATGATGGAGTACACAAGGGTCACTGTCACATGGAGACAAATCTAGAGAATTTATTTTACCACCTAGAGAACCTGCAATATAAATACACAAATAAAATAGTGCAATTCTGAAAAAATGAACTTTAATTATATTATAAGTGTGTCCTCTTTCTTAAGCGATTAAAGTTAATAAAGGTCTTATGATAATAAATCAAACAAAGGATTGATAAAGTTACCCTTTATATCTTTATCATAACTGATAAATTACTCTCTATATATATATGATAACACGCCTAAACGAACTTATTACACATTTTAACATTAATAATGCTAAATATTGAATGGTATATTTAATCAAATGTATTTCATTTTTATGTACAAAAACAGAAACTATAAGTACAACTCGACTTTGCCAAACATGTACATGTTTTACAAAAGAACATATATAAACAATATCCCCCACCCCTAAGAATAAGTTTACTGCATTGACAACGCCTTTGAGTTTTGTTGAAAATATAACTGTAGGATGAAACTGATAATTCATCACTTTCCAAGTTGTACTTTCTTAAAGTCGCTAACAAAATAAAGCATCTAAGCATATAGTTATTGCATGTATGCTCAGTAAGCTTGTGTCATAATCTGTATCAATAATCAGATATATTAATGATAATTTATATAAACAAGTATATCTGTATATATAAGCCTAATATATAAGTAAGAAAAAAATAGCATAATAATGAAGCTTACCACAGTCTTTGTAATTTATATTCAAAGAATATCCTACAGTCAGAAAGGACAAAACGATCAACATTTTAAACAACGCCATCATTGAATAAATTATAGCATTTGTTTCTTCATATCGGATATATATGAATTTATATACATGTACTATAGGAGAGGGTTGTTCAAAATGTTATCCTGTTTGAAGGTCTATGTCATTCATTATTTAATGTAAGTGTATTTATAAAATCAAATTTATTTCCAAAATAGTTTTTAGCTGGTATGCTTCCTTTAATTATTGTTTATACAACCAACAACTTGTCCCCTTAAGGGCCCCTCTTGACATATATGAGTAGTCTGTATATTTAGAAAAATGGCCGACATTTATTTTATGCTTTTCAGTGGATTACTGATTTGTCCGTGAAAATTATATTTCGTCACCTTAGTGCAAAAACTCAATAACTGCATATAGATGTGAAGAAGCAGATATTGAGTTCTTGCACTAAGGTGGCGATTTGATAATTTCACAGTGAAAATTGTCAAAATATAATTTCACACTTTTCAATGACGAAACTACTTTTTTAAGATTTTCCCCATGTGGTACCTCAATTTTATTTTTGCTGACAATTTTGACAATCACAGGGTGTTTAGAGAAAAGCAAAGCTGAAATTGATAAATAACTTAAATGTCAAAAGTAATAAAAAGAAGAAAACTTACTTCTATTCGTTCAAATTACCAATCACCAAATATCGTCTCTTAATTTTTTTGTTTCATTTTTACAGTCTGGAAAATACATTCCTTGGAACCACATGCAGAACTGTTCTTGATGACATTTGTGCATATTTAAGTATCCTACGAGCAATAACTGCCGTATGCTTTATGAAAACTTGAAAAGCAATGACAGCCATCAGCCCGAAGAATAAGTAAACAACCCTGCGTTCGTAAGGCTGCCTTTCAACAAATCCCAGTTTCCAATTTCCTATCCGTTTTTTTTAATGTTTAAACATCTGTCAACACTTATATATTGTCTGTTACAATCCTCAAATAAGTTTTCTTTTTTAAAAAAATGTGTATGACTAACAAATCCAAATGATATCCCTCACAATCAAACACAATTATTTTCCTCCCATGAAATACACAACTTTTAAAAATGGCGGCCGTTTACATTTAACGGAGCCAGGTCTAATATAAATTTGCAGTAAGTAACAGAAATATGGATGGATGATTGGACTTTTCTCCTACTAGAAGCGTTGTTTTTATTATTAAAACAAGCAATCCTTCATATTTTTTTTTAATAAAATGAATAATATCACCGCCATTTAACGTTTATTTTCGAACTTATTTTCAGCCAAAGACTTCTTGTATTTTATGAGAAATTCGACTTATACATGTACATAATAGAGGCTACCAGTGGGGAAAACAGATTTTAATATTAAAGTTAATATCAAGGAAATTTCGTTTTAACTTGTTTTTAAGCATAGAATAAAACGAAAATGTGTTTGTTTGTTGTTTTGTAAGATGTAATTTTATTTCATCTCGTGAACTTTAAAAATAGTATTTAAAGCTCACTCGATGAAATAAAATTTCATCTTACACACAAACAAATAAATATCCTCTATATGTCACTGTCGTGTGCATTTACATTTTCGCGGCTTTGTTATTTGTTAGAATACGAACATTGATAATTGATATTTATTAACATTATTTTCATTATTTGTGATTTGAATTTTGAAAGTTTATCATGTGGCATTTTATGAGCAAATTAAATAAGTGTGAGGTTTTCCCAAATAAGTGGGTTCTCGTTCAAGTCTTTTTTTTCAATTGATTCTATAAACTGTAGATGGTATAAGGTATTACTATGTCTTTATTGCACGTGTTTTGTGAGATTTGAACGGTATTTCAACAAGAAAATTGTGACCTGATGTATAAAATGTTAAAATATGTAGAACATCCCTCATTGGGTCAATTAAACGAAGGTAAACGTGGAGCGAACCATTATCGTACGAGTATCAGTCGGTGTCAAAGTATCACTGGTTATCAATTTAAGATGAAATACGTACTGCGTGTACATAAAGTGAATATAGAAACGAACGACAATCATTACATGTAAACCTAACTTGTACATAAAACGTTTGTCTCCCTTACACTAAAATATTTAATCTTTGTGTAACAGATTTGTATGTAATTTGAAATTAGAAAACATTTACTTCTTTATATAAACATCCGAAATGAGCTGCCCACAATTAAATAAAATATTTTTTTAGTAATCATTGTTTTATATAGTAAATTATGGGCATATTGTTGCAAATACGTAAATATTTGTATTGAAATTTTATCAGATTTTGCTCATGTTTAACAATTAAAATGTATAGGTTATTCCATGTGAGATAGGTCAAGAGTTTTGAAGGTACTGTCTTGTCTAACAAGGAAAAACTCACACACAAAACAACAACAACAAACAAAACAAAAAAATATTTGTATACGCCAGGAAAAGCTGACGATCTCATCTTAATTATAAAATAAGTGTGAGTAGTGTATAAATTTTTATTTATCATTGTCATATTTCATTTCATCTCTTTTGATTGCATTAAACAATTTATATGACTGGATTGTATTAACAAGTCGGTGTGCCATCAAATCACCTGTTATCCTTTGAGAGTTTTCTTATATGATTTCGTGAAGTGCATACATGACATCACTGTGGTGATACTATTTTTGTAGTACTAAAACGTTTACTGGACAGTAACATAAATTATAAAACTAATTTTGACATTAGTGTCATGACTTTTTGTGCGATATTTACCGTTGCAAGTGCGACATTTACCGTCAGGAAATTTTGCGACATTGAACGTTCATTGCGACATTTAACGTCAAGTGCAATATTTAGCGGCGATGCGACATATGCATACATACGTTCCTACAACATCCCTTAGCATAGATTCACATGTTCATCCCATTTACATGTAGGTGTACGTTTTTATTAATGTGGAAATGGTTTGTCTACTTGACTGAATTATTGAGTTGTAGATTTTGCTTTTATTTACTTTTTTATCATTGACTGAACTATTATCAAGTTACGAAACTTATTTATTAAATTTCACATACATCTTGAAATCTTAAAATTGTTTATAGGTAAAGCGGCATAACTCTTGCAAAAAAAGAACGTTCACTGTTTACGTGGGTTACGTATAACTTTGCCATCTCAGGAAAACGCTTTAACGTACACAAATTTGAAATACATCACTACATAAACTATATAAATCAATATACGTTCTATTTCATTTTTTAAATTTTTCTCAGTTTTTGTTTGGTTTTTCTAATGTTTATTGTATATGATAGATAGAACATGACCCTCTTCAAGTACTATCTAATGTGATCGTGCAATTTCCAGCTATGGCCGTTTCTAAATTTTAAACGGTCTTAAAAAGGAAAATTAGTCAGTTCTGAAAATTATATTAAAATGTATTTTGTCATGACTGTGTATTTCAATAACGAAATGATTAACATTAAATTTAATTTGTGTACACTATTTAATTTCATGGATAAAATCTATCCAGTCGGACAAATATTAACCTCCTCTGTTAGTGTTTCATCAGAATAGACATAATATAGACAGAATAGACATACATTGTATATATTTCTGAGGATATGATGAATGTTAAATGGCATGTCATCATAAGTCACAGGTATGTTGTTCAGTTGTTTTGTACACTAGTACATGACCGTATTTTGGTATTCGGGGATCCAACAAAGTTACTTCCCTTTTATAAGATACCCCGAAAAAAATACAACAAAGTTACCTCCCTTTTATAAGATACACCGTTATCTTTTTTTCAAAATGTACGTATAACTGTATGTAACTATAACTGTATGTATACAGTAACAACTTTATGTAGCTCACTGTTATGTTTTAAAGTTTAGGATCTTGATGTCATTCCTAGAACTGTCTTGTATGATATAATCTATATATACAGCTGTTTCATACAATAACCTCAAAAATTACCATTGTTGTTGTTGTTGTTCATAAACATTTGTGAAAATTTATAATTTTGTGAATGAAAAATTATACTTTTATTCAGTAACATACTCTTGCAAGATTTAGCATAGGTCGGATAGAATTATTTCTTTTGCTTTGGCAGGGATGGTCTAACATGGTTTTATGTGCCCGATATCCCGGTCTCTTTGGTTTTATTAATTAACCCTTGCGTGCACATAAAGTTCTTAACACTTATAAATAAATTAATAATAAAAAACTTGTGTAATAAAAAAAGATTTTAAATATAACTTTTGCATTGTTATCTTAAATAAACGAATATGATATGGTGAGTTCTCACTACCTTGAATCCAAAAAAAATGATATTATACTAATACTT